TAGAAGAAACTGAAATAGGCAATGGTGGGCAACTACAACGCTAATTTCATAGTCGGCGACTGGCGATTCACGATTCAAGCGATTCTGTGAGTAGCGGTGGAGCGCGATCTTCATCACTGAGGTCGATTTCGAGATCGGTTTTTCTGCGCTCCATCACTAATACCGAATCTCTTGAGCCTCGCGATCGCCTGTCGCCGACTATACACGCGGTCTAAAATGACAAGGCGGCAACCATTTTCAGCAGTACTCGATTGTTGCTGAAAGACACTATTAATGGCACTCTGCAGAATCAGTTTCCGAATGCTAGCATATCAATCAGTGACAGTGTGGAATGTGACGACAAATTTCCACGTCTCAGTAAAGCTAACGGAAGCGCCAGTTGTGGTATGTCATTGTCCTCTCGGAGGGATCTGTTCAGCTGCTGAGCAAGTGATCCGAGTTGCAGCGGCGCGGCGTTGCAAGAGACATCACTAGGACCTAATTGATTAACAGCGAAAGCACTCTAGTAAGTGGAGGCAACTAATGGCTAAATTCTGAGCTAGTTATCGTGCTTCGCCGCAACTTGGACTTTCTCAATTGCCAATGATCTGAAGTCAGGCTGCGTTCATACTTCGCGACTTGAGCGATTCAGTCGCGTGTTTTCAGAATCGCCAAACTATGAACTATAGCCGCTATTTATTGTACCGCCACAACCGCTTCCTCCGACGTTACAGCGGTCCAAAGATTGCCGTTGGAGCGCGGTGTGACGCAGTAGCGCGATTGAATCGCTCGAGTCGCAAAGTATGAACGCGATTCTATCGCTCAACCGGTAATGATCTTCAGTAATCATTTTGTAGCCGATTGCGCTGCTGGTCAGTACTATAGTGGTGACACTTGTGTTAAGTGTCCAAAAGACACCTACAGAAGAAAAGACGACCCGTTGGAGAAGTGCATGTCATGTGAGGAAAAGTGCTATTTTGTTTTCTCATGTCCGGAAATAAAACCACTGTCGAGTGACGAACTGGACAAAAGACTCCCGAAGAGCTTGTCATGGCAAGTTTGCCATACCCTTGTTAACCTGGCCAGTTCTACCTCGCTAAAATCATAAGAAATTGTTTGAGTCATCTGTGATCCTGGCGAGTACTACGACGACTCAACGGCAAACTGTCAACTGTGTCCACTTGGAACGTACCAAGAGAAAACGAGAGCGAGAAGCATTTATGGCCTGTGCCCCTCTGTACAGGACTAACCAGTATGGCAATAAGTGACGCATTTCATTTATACGATATGTGTGGATTTATGGATATTGATCGATTATTCAGGGAGCAAAGAACGCCACCGACTGTTCGGTCAAATGCGATGCTGGTAAAGAACTGGCTGGCTCGGAAAACTGCGTTTCATGTGCTAAAGGGACCTATTGGGTAGGGTACGAGGGCGCTGATCGGCTTGGGAGGGGCATTTTCCACTTTCACTGGTTCATTTGCTTCCTCAAGTTACCTCTCGTGAACTCAGCTACGAAATGGGAGCCACCTCGGTTACAAGAATTCACTGGACTTTACAAGGTAGCCTGTAGAGGCTTCGCTGACAATGAATATCACTCGGTGCCCCCACCAAGCCGAGCAGCGCCGCCTACGCATTTTCAATCCGAACTGCACCTTATTTTTACTAGGAACTTTAGCCCGAAAAATTGAAAATTAAGGTGAGGACGAGTTTTTTCACCGGTTGTGTGGATTGCCCGCTAGGTCTGACTACCGTAGCCACAGGGTCGAGAGATATACGGTGAGTACTTTGAGGTATTCGACTTTATGCTCACTGAAAAATTTAAGGCTGCGTCCATACTTCGCGAGTCGCGCGCTACATGACACTACACTTTAGGGTCAAACATGGCACCATAGGACTTTCCCGCCCGCCTCACCTCTTGGCCGTAGATATACAATCTCGGACCTGTTGTAGGACACTGTAGGTGTGCTACCAGGCATCGAGGGCAGGGACAACCCTGTGACCGAGTAAGACCCCTGTCGAAGAGTCCTTGACGCATGCTTGACCCTGTACGAACTTTGAACCGCCGCGGCTTCTGAAACAGTCACATTCAAAGTGAAACTTTTCCGACCAGTACTAGCAGTCCTGCAATCAGCTACGGAGCGCGGATTGGCCGTAGTCGCGCGACTAAATCGCTCGAGTCGTGGAGTGTGAACG